AAGAATGCTGCGTTAATTCGGATCGCCCCCCTTGGGAACTCACCGCAACGCCTTGGGGCCCTCTGGTGCCACTTTTCTTAGGACGGTCGTGGGCGCTCTTGGGCCGTCATGGGGCAACCTTGGGCCTCCCTCGGGGCCCTCTGGGGCAAGATTGCTGCCGTTTTGACGCCCCAAGAGCCCATCGGAAACGAGGGAGCGAGAAAACAATCAACATTGGGTTTCCGTAGGTTTCGGAACCCGTTTGGCATTTTTTGTGGGGTCCTTGAATGGCCCGAACGACTGGAATTCCCCTCGGGGTCGTATCGAAGCTTCTTGGATGCGGGTCGGAAGCCACCTTGAGCCAGCTCGAGTTATCGTGGCCATCTTGGGTGCCATCTTGGGTTTCTAGGGCTCTCTGGGAGCCATCTTGGGCCATCTTGGGCGCTCTGATGGGTCGATCCCCCCCCCCCCCCTCCCAGGCCCATGGGAGGGGGCAGGGGGATTGGTGCACCCCTCCCCTGAGCAGGGGAAGGAGGTGTTGGCAGAGAGAACGCGCAACTCGCTAAACCACCTACGCCCAAAGGGCTGGTGGGGTGATCCTGGCGAAGGGCCCGCCCAACCATGTGCAGTTGTGAATACTGTAGTTGCGCCTACCACCTGCGGCGGCGAAGCTCTTTGTGGGACCTCGACACGTTTGAGGGGCGTGCCGACATGGGCGGCGGTGCCACGCGACCTTCACATTGGGGCCTTAGGTGCCCCCCCCCCCCCTGGTGCCACAAAACGTGTGAGGGGTGTGCCGACATGGCGCGGCTGTGCCATGAGAGCTTCTCCATTGGGGCCTTAGGCGGAGCTCCCTATGAGGCCACGAAGCGTGTAAGGGGTGTGCCGAAATGGGGCGGCGGCGCATGCGAATTTTCTATTGGGACATTCGGTGGGGTTCACCACGGTGCCACGAAACCTATGAGGGTTGTGCCAAAATGGGCGCTGGTGCCACGCGATCTTTCCCACTGAGGCCTTAAGCGGGGCTCCCATGGGGCCACGAAGCGTGCGAGGGGAGTGCCGAAATAGCGCGGCGGTGCCATGCGAACTTCCCCACTGATGCCTTCGGCGGGGTTCCCTATGGGGCAGCGCAACGTGTGAGGGGTATGCCGAAATGGGGCGGCGGTGCCATGCGAACTTCCCCACTGGAGCCTTAGGCAACGCTCCCCATGGGGCCGCGAAACGTGCGCGGGGAGTGCCGTAATTGATGGCGGTGTCATGCGAATTTTCCCGCTGAGGCCTTCGGTGGAGCTCCCCATGGGGCCACGAAGCGTCGGAGGTGTGCGCCGAACTTGAGCGGCAATGCCATCCAAACTTTTCATTTGGGCCTTTGGCGGGGCCCCCTATGGGGCCGCGGAACGTGTGAGGTGTGCGCCGAAATTGGGTGGCGGTGCCATGCGAACTTTCCCGCTGATGCCTTAGGTGGAGCTCTCAATGGGGTCGCGAAGCGCGTGGGGTGCGTGCCGAAATGAGGCGGCGGCGCCACGCAAACTTCCCCACTGAAGCCGAAGGTCGGGTTCCCAAGGGGCCGCGGAACGTGTGCGGGGTGTGCCGAAGTGGGGCGGCGGTGCCATGTTAGCTTTCCCACTGGGGCCTTAAGCAGAGCTCACCATGGGGCCGCGAAACGTCTGAGTGGTGCGCCGAAACAGATACATGCGGAGGGCAGGGGCGGGGATGGGAGGAGCGAGGGAGGGGGGAGGGGGAGGAGGAGGGCGATGTGAGCGCGGAACGCGGGACGCTGTCTCTGCAAAACGAGGACCCAACACCGCGAGATGGTTGATAATGAAGGGCACCTTGCGCCGCCGCTTCCGTGGCTGCATTTTCCAACCCCGCTCCCCCATCCCCCCTCGCCCTTTCTCTCTTCGCCCTCCCCCTCTATCCTGCGTCCAATCCCCCTCCTTCTCCCTCCCTCCCCCAATCCCCCCCGCGCATCGTGCCCCAATCCCTCAGCCACCCCCTCCTGGAAGGAAGGGGTGGGGCTGAGGAAAAACAGGGTGGATGGGGGAAGGGGGGGGGAGAGCGAGGGATGAGGAAGGGGGGGATGAGGAGGCATCTATGGCGACGTGCAGGCCAGGCGGCCAGGCGGCGGCGGCAGCCAGGCGGCGGCCGAGCCGCGGGGCCCTCCCCGTTCCTTCCCTCTCCCCCGCGCCCTTCCTTCCACCCCGCCCACCCTTCATTTTCAAGCAATGTCCTTTCTACTTCCCTCCCTCCTCTGTCTCTGCTGCGTCTCCTCTTCTTCCCCCCCTTCCGCTTCCCTTTCACTTCCCCTCTTCCGTTTTCCGCCCCCCGTGTCTCCTCCCACTTTCTCTTCTTGTGCCCCCTGTCCTCGGTCTCCTCCTCTTGCCCCCTGCCGCCCAGTTTGCTCCCTTGCGAATTCCGCCCCCCCTCCCCCTCCAAGTCAGTTGCTAGTTTGGCCCAAACCCTCGGCGTGTTTTTTTGGGGGCTGGAGCGGCATGGCCTCGCCGCGCCGCGGCGGGGCCTC